ATTTTAATAATAATTTAATTTTAAATTCTATAGAATATCTATAGTCTATAATTATACTATAAAAATAATAATAAAAAAACTATAAAAATACTTTTTATTTAAAAATAGTTAAGACTAATCCGGGGGATAATATAAAAGCTATACAAAAAATATTTAGATAGAATAATAAATTAAGACTAGTTTAATTTATTTAATTTTTTTATTTTATTTATACTATATGTAGATAATATAATACCGCGGGAAATATAGCTATTTTTCTTTTTTTTTCTTCTTTTTATACTTAAAATTTTGTTTAAATAGTACTATATTAATGAAATTCAGTTGGTTTGATCGGCCATCACATTAATCAAAGTCTTAATTTTTTAGAACTATATATATATATATATATATAAATAATTAAGAATATATATTTTATAAGAGTATTTTAATTATAAATATATAATATTATAAATTTTTATTATATTTTTTATTTTATATTTAAATTAGTAAATCTTTGGTTTAAAACTTAGATATATTAGTAGAATAGATTAATTATATTTTAGATAATATTTTATTTATAGTTTTAATAAATAATTTCAGTATTATACTGCATCTGCACACTGTTTTAATAAATATATATTAATCTAACTATTATATTAGTTAATGAAAAATATCTAATAGTAGATTTTATTAGACTTTATTATAAATAAATTAATATATTTATTTCTAGTATTAAAAAATATACTATTAATATTATATTATAAATATTAAATATTAGGTTTTTTATTTAGCTACTATCTGTATAAGGTAATAAATAAAATAAATATATTTTAATATAATAAGATTTCTTATATTTATATTATTTATTATTTTTAATATATAAATATAATTTTAAATTAATAAATATATTAAATACTAATATTAAATATAAAGATTAATATAATTTTTATTCATAGCTGAAGTATATTTTTTATAAATATTTCTAAAAATATATAAATAATAAGTTAATAAAAATAGATTATTACTATTATTTAATATATCAGCTGCTGTAGACAGACTGTTACTATTATTTAATCTAATAATTATTTTATTATTTAATTAATAAATAATATTAATAAAAAATAAATCTTTTATAGAATATATAGTAAGAAATATATTACTTATATTTTTGAATATAATATATATAGTATTAGTCTGCTTATATAAGTAAAAAGAATATTAATTATTAATAATATTATTAAAAATAAAAAATTTCTTATTTATTTTACATTTTATAGATAATTATTTTATTTAGTAGTAAATTAATAGTAATTTTATATTTTTTAAAATATATAGTATTTAGTAAATTAATTTTTAATATTAGAATATATAATATATTAATAAGTATTATTATATAAAAATATTTTTTTAAATATTATATTTTTAGTTTAATATTATTTTTTAATATTAAGTATATGAGTTTTTTAGTTACTATATAAATACTATATTTAAAAAGCTTTATAGTTAATAAAATAAAATTATTTTTATTTTTAATAAAATATTTAGTAGAATTAGAGTTAATAATCTATTTATATCTAATATAATACTATAAGATATAAAAATTATATAAAATTATATTTATATTATTTTTATATTTTTTATTTATTATTTTTATACTAAAAACTACAGCCGCTGTAATATTAAGATTTTTAATAATAATACTAATATTTAAATTTTTTTTAGTATTTTTAATTAATTTAAATAGTTTTTTTTAGAATAAAGTTTTTAGTAGTTAGACTTTTTATAGCCGACTTTACTATAGTAATTATATTTTTAATTCTTATAAATTTTCTATAATATTTTTTTAGAATTATTTTTATTCGACTAGTTTAATCTATTTTATTAATTTTTTAACTTAAAACTACTTAACTTTTAATTTTTAAATATTTTAGTAAGATTAATATTATTTAAATTAAACTAAATATATATCTTTTTTTATATAAAAATCTAAATAATCTAATTTTATATTATTATTTCTTTAATATAGCAGAAATTAAAATAAAAAGTTAAAAAAATAAACTACTAATTTTTTAAATCATAAAATAAAAATTAAATCTATATACTATTACTTAGCTTATTATTTTTAATAAGATTATACTAAAACTTATTTAATACTTTAGATATTTTTATAATATATTTATTAATATTTTGATAGTTATTATATCGAAGAAATATAATAGTCTAAAAATTTTTAAAAAATTAAATATTTAAAATAATAATATTTTTTTTAAATTTATTTTAAATAGTACTAGCTGACTTTAAGTTGATTACTTTATAATATATTTTTAATAATAATATAATATATATAATACTATAGGTTTTTTTATTATTTTAATATTATTTTAATTATCTAATTTAATATTTTTTAAATTTTTTAATATATACTTACTTAATAACTTGGACAGATATATTTCTATTAAAATTATTAAAAAATTTTATAAAAGATCTCGGAATTTTTATAATATTTAAAATAAAATACTATAGTTTTTAATTTAATAAATATATTTTAACTATCTTAAACTAATACAAATAATTTTTAGTATTTTAAAGAACTAGCAGTTTATTTATATTAATTATTTAATATTTTATTATATTTTATTATATTTTATATTATTTAATTTTTATATTTAATTTACTAATCTTAACAGTAGCTAATATTTAATAAAAATTAGATATAAAAAATAGTTTGGTAACAGATTTAGTTAATTAATATATATTTTAATAAAAATTTTAATAATAATTAGTAGTATTGTAAACTAATAAAATAATATATTTTAGTAATATTCTTTCTACTAAAAAAATATATATATTAATATAAAAATAATTAATTTAACATTTTAGTCCGAACCGGGCTTATAATCTGTTAAAAAAACAGCTATAGAAATTAAAAAGTTAAAATTATTTAAATTAATATTAATTAGTTATTAGAAGAAATTAGATACAGCTATGTGGTATTTTAAACTCTTCGGCCGTCACATGACCCGGCGATGCCAGGCCACCAACGCCGACACAATCAAGGCGTAGGTACCGATCCTCTCACCGTCTATTGGGTATTTCCAAAGGGAAAACATTCTCAGCAAATCGCCGTTTGCATACATGGGCCGGAGATAGTCTCAAGCTGCGGCCCACTCATCAGTATCATCAATACAAATCGACTCGTGTATTCTCTAGCGTCATGTATGTCCAGCTACTATACGTGGCATCTTATCACATTCAATATTGTGCCTTGTCAACTGGTTAATGTGGGAGATGCTTTGCGCTGAGTTGACTTGCGCTGACTGCCCGAATAGTATTACTGGTGGATAAAAGTCGATTGGAATAACAAGATCTCTATTCAAACCTAAAGACTCACTACTGATCGTATTCTTCAAACCTGAAATTCCATATCGTCTTGGCGGAGCTGTCAAACCCATATCCTTTGGAACTCGTCGCGCCGATATGCTGTAGTAACGGCGGAACCACAGCCCAGCGCGTCCAGCCCTGGCTGTCCGCAATCGTTTCAACCATCATATCAACCAACCAGTCAGTCGTCAAGTCAGTCTGCTCCAGGAACCGGGGTACCATCGCTCGGGGGAAAACAAGACCCTGCGAACAACATCCGTATTTGTTCATTTCATGGACTCCAGGGGCAATGGGCCACATTTTTTGCCGGCCGGAGATGAAGAAAAAAAGAATCGCACCGGGTATAAGCAGGGACGATGCAAGCCAGATGGCACTGGTCGGGAATCGACGGAGCTGCGTTGTGAACACTCGTGTCTTGAAGACAACCATTGTCCCTGTAAGTAACGCCCAGAGAATGAAGGACCACGCCAGGTATTGCGGCCATTCTTCCGAGTTCCAGCCTAGGAGGCCATCGACGTAGAACAGGCGGAGATAAATCCACTCTTGACCTTGACGTGCAGCCTTCTCATGCACTGCGTCCAGAGCTTGCAAGGCAGATGGAAACCAGCCATTGACTGCCAGGGTATCATCTTCTATCATCACGACATAGTCGGCACCGGTCTCATAGCAGTCCTTCATCAAGGTTGTGAAGTCGTAGATGGTCTTGTTCCGGTACCAGCCACCTTCCTCCCACGCCCGTAGCTGTCCGAAGTCGGGGTCATCTTGCGAATACGTTAACAGACGATCGGGTAGCGTTTCCACCCACTTCTCGGAGAAGATAGGGTGCTCTTTCGGGTCAGTGTTGCCAACACGAAGGTATAAACGCATCGTGTTTCTTTCGGTCTCAGTGAGTCCATCCAGGAGAGACGCCACTGTCAAGCCAACATATTGATCACCCCTTCGACGAACCGTTACTATTCCCACGCACACCGCTGGGGGCCCCTGGTGTTCTCTCGTCGGAGACGCTAAGCTGCTGGCGGAGGCAAGAAATGCCTCTGCTTGGGCAATTCGTTTGGACGAATATCGTTTCTGATAGGCACGGCTGGGGTCGAAGAACAAAGACGTGGGATCGCGATAGCTCGAGCTATGGTAGTAGCCAAGGAAGACGAGACATAAAATGAGATAAATGCAGCCTATGATGCTAACCGCAGAGAAAGAGAGTCGGCTGAGCTGATGATACAGCGGTGTGTTGGCCATTCGTGCTGCCCATAGAGAACGAATAGTTTGATGATGGGAGGGATGAAGTAGAGAGGGCCAGTGTAGGGACAATAAGAGTGGGTCCGTGCACAAAGCGACATGGCTAGTGCGTATTGTCAATTTCGAACTAACCTGTAAGATTGGACTGTTCGTAAATACATTACAGCAGTTACCGCCCAACGTCTTGTCCCTTCGCCCTGTAGTTAGATATTTCATTCGGAAATTTCGGATACTCAAGTTGAAATCAGACATACAGGGTCTTTTTGACAGGACGCGCCGGGCCTCCTGAGTGGAGTGTGGACTCTGTGGAGTCCCCATGCCAAGAGTCCAACAGATGCAGCCAATGTCTTCTACAATCTACCTACACTCAGGTACAGCCATGGCACACACTCAAAGGATGTATTTCAAGCGTACGAGCGCTCAGGTTGCACGCGAGCTGTAGTCACACTCGCCACGCGACGACTGTCAAAGACCAACCACTCAGTAGAATGTGATAAACCCCAAATACTATCCTGTGTAGATGGTGAGGTGTTCCTGCTTGTATGATGCTGACTTTGCCGTGTGGACGAGTGATTGAGCAAGCTGGTATGCAGGTCAACTAATTCAGTCCCAGAAGAATCGCCGCGGAGTTCAGCAGAGGGCGTGTGCGTTTTGAAGACTAGTTCAATGCGGTCTTGCCCACAGGAGTCAGAAGCCTTCGCCACACGAATCCTTGCTAGGTGAGCGTAGGTCTTCGAGCTCTTTATTCCTCCTCCAGTATTTGTTAGAACTTCAGACGCTGGCGGTGAATTTTGCGCCAGAGCAATGAGCTCACCCACTGAACTACAGCTACCCGGCGTGTGTCTTTTAAGGATGAGGTAGATGATGTGGCCAATAGCAATCGCCATGTGAGTAAAGAGGACTGACATGGCGAGAGTACCAGCAAGAGAGCTCTGAAGTGAAAAGCCGCTTATCTTGAATTCTGCTGTGATCGTCACTGATTCGCTGGGGGTGGAGGCGGTGGTAGTCGAAGGTTGAATCGCCACTCTGTCTTCGATGAACACTTGATGGCTTCCCGTTCGGCTGAGGCCATCGAGAATGACACTGCAGACAATGGCCTCCACTAGAGAGACCCTCTGCCAGCTTGAAACATCGTTGACAAGCCAACCATCGAGAGTTATCTCATCGGCCTTTGCATCAGTTGCCAAGCCTGCATTTGAAAAGATGCTTTCGATGGTCGATGGCCGCCAAGTGCTGGCAGTATCAGTCACTGTAAGGGGGCTTGGAGGAGTCAATAACTTGAGCCACTCATCACCGAATGCAACTCGGCCATTGGTTGCGCTGTAAGAAGTCGGATTCCATGCGGGAGAACGATCGTCATACTGGATATTCCACGGATACCAGCCGGTCCAGAAAGTGTACTTGTCAGTGAAGACCGTTGCAGGAACCCACCCAGCCTGTACTGTACAACCGATTGCTATTCTAGAGACGCTACCCCCCTTAGTGGCTTTCCAGGGGGTCTGGAATAGTCCCCCAATGCTAGCAGCACCAAATCTGGGCGGAAGATGAGCCCATTGAAATTGCAGGTGGCCATTGGGAGTGGAATTAAGACTATCCACGTCGAGTGGTAGGCTATCGGCAAAGTCAAACCGACCATGTATTGAAGGAAAATACACTGTGGTGTCTGAGGCTCGTAGCTTTCGTGGCGCTGCACAACGGGCGACAGTGATAGCATGTTTGAAGGTAGCCGAAGCAGTACGATCATCAATTTGACTCTGCGAAAGACCTTTATGTACACTGAAGGCCCGCCACCAATCTTCCGCAAGCCGCTGTAGCATCACCACGGTTGCTGCATGCGGCTGTATCAGCGATGTTCTTCTATTTGGCTCTTGCTGAATGTTCCCCAGTGAATATAGAGGTGGGATTAGAGACAGGGGGCTGGAGACTGGCCAGTAGAACCGGGACCCGGAAAGTTCCTTTGCATAGGAGCGGACATTCTGGGTTTGGAAAGTGGTGCTGTTCATCGTCCCCCAGTGAGTCCACAACGAGTGAAATCCACCCGCCGGGCAGAATCCCAGAAGAGTCGAGTTTTGCTCACTGCAGAGTTGTTCGAGGTCTGGGATCTCTTTCGACAAGTCAGCAGGCCAATAATCGCTCTCTGATCCGTTCAAGAAGAACTCAGTATCTCCGGCGCTCCAGGGTTGTGATTTTGGAACCAGGAGAACAGCACTCGCTGGCCCAGCAAGAGTAACTAGCAGGCCTGCCACGACCACAAGACTTATCAGTGCAGCCTTGCGTGATCTCTCGCCGTGAATAGCCACATATCTTAAACCACCATAAAATTCTCTGGAGAAAAAATATCCGAAGTTGTTGAACGCAAGCCCTGATCCCAAGAAACCCAAGGGGAGGCCACGGCCGAAGAGCAATTCATGGCGGACACAGTGTAGAATAGTTACACTCAAGCTTGCAACGATCATTATCTCATGAGCTTTGGCAGCTAACTGGAAGAGTGCCAGGTTTATAGTCTCGGATGGGAATGGAGACATCATGTCCGCTCCTAGATATGTGCCCTTGATGTTCAGTCCAATAACTGTAGATGACACGGCAATGGGAAGGAGGTGTATCGCGCAACGTTGAGGCGCGGCAAGTATAGACCGCGTTATGACAACTTTGGGAGGTTCTTGCTGACTAGGTGACAATGTGTTCATGATGGATGAAGGGATATTTGCCGTCATCTTTTCTTGAAGCACCACTCAAAAAAGCGGCATGCCCGGACTAGCCAAGTTGACAGGCTTAGGTGTGATTAAAGCCCACGATGCGAGATGGGATAAGATGTCTCCAGGAAATGCGGAAAGGAGGAGATGAAAAGCAAAATTATGCAATTGAATACTCAGCACCCTGAGCAGGCCAGCTTCCTAATCCTTGTCTACTAGGCAAGAATGACACGGGGTATCTCAGATAGGTCATGATGGATCACTCTCATGTCTCTGGTCGGTGGCAGTCCGTAAGATTCGATTTGGCAAATGGCACAAAGCGGTGTCAATATTAGGTTCTCGATGTTGTCAGAATGGTTTCTGCTCACTATGCTTTTCGCGTTGTTTAAACACTGTTTCAGCGTTAGTCAGAGAATAATTCAATGCCGAGATTTGCCCTTTCCCTTGACGCAGTAAGCTTTTAGCACACTTGGGCAACGCTGTACTCTATCTCGGTACAATAGCCTACTTTGAGACTCACGTATGACGAAGACAGACCGAAATGGATATATCAAATCAGTTGCAGGGAAAAGGCAGAAAGAGATTCATGGTAGCGAATGTACAGGTATATGTCACTTGAACAAGCACCCACATGAGAGAGGGGGGAAAGAAGAATAAAAGGAGAAGACTAAAGAAATAAGAAACAAGAAAAACATAAAACAAACTCCAGTCCGCTGAATCGATAAACATTAAATGGCCCCAATCAGGCATCAAAATTGACCAAAGCATGATTTACAAATAAGCCCAATACTGAGAAATCTCTAGATCAAACAGGTCATATGCTGGTATTCAATGCTTGTCGCTGAAGATATACAGACCATACAAGGAGAAGTATAAGCGCCTATTCGAACCCTATACCTGCTCCATAGCAATCTTTCTTGTTGTGGTATTTATAACGGACTCGAATCTTGATCTCTGAAGTGGGTAGAAACAGGCCAGATCGTGTGTAAAAGGGTATAGACATCGTAAGGATCGTATGGTACGATAACAAGCTAATGTGGTCGAGGGGTTTCGTCATCCGGACTCAGCATGCCCGGATAATTCTGATTATCGCCAAAGTAATTGAGGACGTCCTGTGGAAGATATTCAAGCCATGGAAGTATCTCACCGCTGAACGCGAAGGGAAGCTGATCATTTTGCTGGAGCATAGCCATATCAACGTCCTGGCTCTCGATAAACACATTTCCAGCATCAGGTTCGGCATCAGAATGCAGTCCAGCGCTGTGCGCAATTAGGTGCCCGCTCCCTGTATGAGCGTCACTCACAGTAGAAGGGATGTTATAATTATAGACTTGCGCGTGACCCTCAAGCCCACATGCAGCAGAAGGTATTTGATGATTGAAAGCCGACCGTGAATTAGGTAGACGGGAGGTCGAACCGGGATAAGTCGTATTCAAACCAAGGAGAAGGTTAGCATCAGAAGTGGTAACTCTGCCGGAGGATGCCAGGGGTGAATATTGCGCAGTTGTAGAGGCCATTGATGGCCCCGGAGTCGCTTTTGTGCTCCGGGATGACTCTGTGGCCTGTGAGTATGAGTACGAAGTCCCACCACCATCAGGTTGAACAGGTATATGGGGGTAGCTATGGCTATATTGAGATGAATATGTCGGCTTTTCCGGGATAGGTCCTGTCTGTGCAGGCATCTGATAAAGAAGGCTTAGATTCGGCTGCGAAGAGTTTGTCGCACCAGTAAGAGCCCATCCAATAGCTCGAAGACAGTCAGCTCACACTGAGGTAGGGAGAAGCAAGTGATGAACCCTACCTTGACTCGGATCTATTTTGGGCGACCGCCTTCCTTCTGCTGGTGTATCTGAGCCCGGCGCTGATGGGTCAGCACCCACCGTATCATCAGACGATTGCGTCCGTCGCCACGGTTGTGCCGCGAGTGGCTGGACAGAAGATAGCCCAGCAGTACTTTCCATCTCTTCCACAGTATACAAAAGTGGGTCCACGATCCCTTTGGCCTTTTGGTCTAAGACCGTTAGAATGTACCTTGTACCTTCCCAATAGGTCTCAAGCGCCTTCAATGCTTTGTAACATCTCTGGTAATTCTCTTTCGCAGCGGATGCGAGAAGAATGTGCTTAGCGGTAGGTTCTCGTTCAGAGCCGGTGGCCGGATCCATGCTGGGCATCACAAATCCACTGGATTGGTTTGTGAGAAGCGGTTGGATGGGAGGCGAACACGACCTCGATGATGGCGAGGAGTAATAAGCACTTTCCATCAGAAAAGCGCATGCAGCAATGTACATCGGCTGGCTCGTGAAAGGATTGCCAATAAAACTCTTTCCGTCAACAAGCTCTGAAAAAGAGAGGATGTCAGCAATGGTTTTGGCTGAGGACATCGACAATTCCCGGCTGTTCGGATATAGATGCTGAATTGTCCCTCCAAATGAATGAAGGAGCGTCGGCTGATGCAGCAAGACTATCAAGGTATGAAACCACTGGTCTGTGTCAATAGGAGTTCTCATGGGAAAGGAGGCCAAGCATACGAAATGTAAAAGTATGAAATTTGTTCCTTCTTTCGCCTTGACATATGCTTGAAAGTTTGCGGCGTTGAAGTGGAGCCTGGGTGATAGGCGTTGGTATATTCCTGGTTCATAACCATGATTAGCTGTTGCGTGGTGAAAACTTGAGTCTGAGGTATCATTACCTGTCAGGTCGCTTTCCATGCCGGCCAGCACCTTCAGTGTGTCCGATGTTACATGCTTGACATCCTGAATCCCATTGATGAGGTCTGTCACTCTGCCGTACAAGTGAATGATGCGGATAAGTGGAGGGAATGGTGCAGGCCAACCATTCGGCAGCCTGGATTCGCATTGAAGAGGGAAACAGAGTTCAATCTCTTCATCACGCAAGGTAACAGGCCTTCCGGTACCAGATGAGATCACTCGATCGAGAAAGAAAATGCTCCAAAAAGAATCCACTCGTTCACGTTCCGAAGCACGTCGACCTTCCGCGTCGCGCGGCTGGCCCCTTAGTGTTGGGGAAGGTTGCGGTTCATCATACTGATCGTCTCTCAACTTTCCAGCTTGTCCAGTCAGTACAGCATTTGGAGTTACCCCACTCTGACCATAATTGTATTCCAGACCCTGGACTTTCTGCATCCCAAGATCCTGCGCCATCCTGATGGATATTCCCAAGTACATCCAGAGACCGCTATCATGATTCGATCCGAATTCCTCGTAAGCTAGTAAGAGGCATGCTTGCACAACGGAGATAGTAGGACAAGAGAGTGAATCGACCAGAGCACTCATCGCTCTATGAGCGAATGGCTGACCGCGGTTTGATTTCTTCATATCCACTGCTGGTTCGGATCCATCTATCGAAGGTGCCTGAGGCGGACTCAGGAGCGGATGGAGAGAAAAACGAGCAGATAACGCACAGATCGCGTCCACCAGCATTGTATCGACCTTCTTGTCTTTCAGGTCGCGTAGAAACCTGTCTCGTTGTAGAAAAGGAAAGCTGCACCCTAGATGCACGAAAAACAGATCGCAAAGATGCATCACGAGATTGCTAACAGGAAGAGTATCATCGCGATCATAGAACGGAATAGTGTTATAGTCACGGCTGTCGCGGGTATCAGACATACCGCTCACATTGTTGATGCCATGATTGGGAAATTTGGGACTTCGTAATGGTGATAGGGACTCTGTATGAGCAGTATTAGTACGTGAGCGGCCAGTATCTTGTGGCACACAAAAGCGTATGGCAAGCGAAATTATGCAGACCTGATGATAATGAGGCATTGCTCTTGCGAGAACCTCTAACTTGGACAACCTGCAAGCACAAAAATCAGTATCGCGACCATTCCAGCGCCCTTTATTGGTGGGATTCAAACCATCTGCTTGAAGCCGGGAACTATAGCGGTTGGCCCAAAATACCTGAAATAAGGGACATGTGTGCGAGCGCTTGAACTTAGAGAAGTGCGACCTAGACAGATGAGACATGGTAAGCACCGAGCAATCACCATTTATGAATCACGGTTGGAACTATCTATCACATACTGCTCTCTGGACTTTCTGCTAAGGTCTGCTGCTCAGGCTCTTTCGTTGTTTGGGAAGATATGTCTCTGACAGATGAGGCCTCTTTCACTTCCGACGGTATGGGCTCCGCTACAGGCCTGTCATTGCGTTCGACAGGAGGCACGGTAGCTCGACCGGGAGGATCTGGGGAACGAGTTTCGACTTTCAGAGCCACGCGCGAAGTATTCTCGCTAGAGATCGATAAAGGTGCGACTGTCGCGGCTCGAGCACTGGAATCAGATTGTGATCGGGCATGTGTTGTTGGCTCGCTGTACCCTTGGCATACATGATTGAAGTCGGAGCAAGTCTTGCACACTTACATACCCAAATGCGACCTGTTAGTGGTGGGTTACAGCCCCAGGGATCTTGGCTCCTTCTCACCTGGTTGTTCACCCGAGCATCGTATCTTGCGCTTGCGACATGTTAAGCACCTAAAGGGTATGCCAGCCACCCGTCAGTGAATAATTTCCAGCCAGTAAGAGAGGATAGAACTAAGCAGTTTGCAGTAGGACTTACGCCGCGTTGACACGCCGCCGCTTTGTCTGAGGTTGACCGTCTGTCGACACAAAGCGAATTTGTCGCGGAGGGGGAACATTATTACCGCCGTTCTTCTGAGAAGAAATATGGCTCATTGCGAGCAAGTGGTCATCCGGCGTCACGACACATTGGGCACCTGATGGTTTAGTCTGAAAGCTCTATGGCGATCGATCGTACCCGCAGATGATGCGCAGGGGGATCGTAGACCGGGAGTATAGAAGTCACGGAGAGGGACAAAGAGGGAGATTCCTGGACGAAAGCACTGAACGGAAGGGAATATCCATGGGCAGGCGCTATTTCGAATGTGACTGGTGCAAGTTCATCGCAGGAGCCCAGGCGGGCGAGAGGCCGAGATTAACGAGAGGAGGCAGGATCGAGTGCTCTTTCAGTCGATAACAACAAATGCGAATCGTTCTTGGGAGGGGCGACTAGTGTTGGAAACTTAACTTAGTGGTTAGTACGAGGTTCCTCCCTGGTCATGCCCTCCCAGGGACCCCCAACGGGCGATGACTGTCTGAGTCGTTGTTGGGTTGAGAAGAGCCACTGCAGCTTAGGTAGTCCCCTCAGCTTGGACTAGTCTAACTGTGGCTCCTGTTCTTTTTATTTGCTTTTCTGCCTTAAAGAGGCGGCGTCGGAAAAGAAAGCCACCTATGAATGGCAGCCCAAGCGATTCTAGCCTGACCGCTTTGTAGTGATTCAATGAATTCAACACCGGTTCCTCTTGTGACGCTTGAACACAATCCCAAATCAAGCAACTTGAGCCGGTCGATCCGGCTAGGGATTGAAATCGAAAGTTGGACGGAAATATCTGATTGGAAATACTCATAGGAACGAGGTCTTTGTGCTAGACCCTATGGAAGGACGGCAGAAGCAAACCGAAGAAAAGAAGACCGAAACGAAAGGGGAAAAGAAAATTGGACTGGTCCCGCCTTCGATGGATTTGTAGCCCATGTGACTATCAAGTATTTAGTTCCCTTACAGCCTCATTACGGGACTTGGCCACCACAGTATACTGTCATTTCGCCCTTCAAAGATAGTGTGTGTGTGTTGTGTTAGATAAAGGCAACTTTTATTCTGTCACCTCCTTATCCCTGAGGTTGCTGGGGTAGCGAAGATCAGTCTCGACGCTGAGGTATGATCGCCTGGAAGTCTGATGAAGGTCTGGACTCTCCGCGGTTGGAGTCTGGGGGAATTTGAAAGTGGACACGGGCACTGAGACTGTGCTCCATCTGTTGTCCGTATGGGGGGGGACGAGCTTTAGTTGACCCGAGCAGCTCCACCTCGGGCGGATTCCATACAAAACACTTCCTCGGTCGGCTCTCTTCCGTTCCCCACTGATTCATTTCCCTTCCCATCCGCTAACCTTAGAACACGTCGCAGGCAGTCAACAATGAATGCCGTTCGACTTCACTCACATCTTTGGGACTGAACTTGCAACGCGATTTGCTCAACTCATATGACCACCATAAAATCGTTTCATGGAACGTCAAATCTCTCAGACCCTCTCTATTGTGAAAAATTCTATCGATCATTCTATCATGCCTCTGGCTGCTATAACAATGAGCATCACCCGAGGAACCTTTAGATCTCCCACCTAAGTCACTGGACTTTACTTTCCATACCATCTAGAATTGCGGTCTAGGGATCTCAAACGCATCGGTAGTCCGCCCGTATGAAATGCCCCCCAGGCGACTGATGGGCTTGAGAACCTTGAGGTCGACAATACTCTTATCCTCATTGATGGCATCATCCCGAACCCAGAACCGGACACCTTCAATAATCGCGAGGACACTGGACTTCTTTCCCGGTGTCGTTCGGCTTTCAAACTCCTTGGTCTCGACAAGCTTCCCTTCAATGGACATGATGGACTCTTTGACCCGAGCTGGTTTGACAATGGTACTGGGCTCTTGGTGTAATCCCGAGACCTCCCATTCCGATACGCCATAGGGAGCATTGATGGCAGTCGCATTGGCCGCTTCCACGAAGTGCTCCGAAATGATATTGATCACACATTCCTCGGTCTCCGCCAGATTCTTCAGGGTATCTTTCGCCTTGTCAAGGGAGCCAACAAAGCCCACAATAAAGAGTGGAGGATCATGGTTGATAACCTGTGAGTAACTGAACGGGGCAAGATTGGCTGTCTTCCCATCCTTGGACTTCGTGCTGATGAGCGCAATGGGTCTGGGAACCATCCCGGAGATGAGAAGTTTGTAATTAGAAGCCACGGGGCGCCCTTCCTCGTACGGGTCAATTTGCACATGGTTCTTCTTCAGACTCTCGCCTCCATCGTTGCCTCCGTCTCCCTCCTTCCAATCGGGCTTGGGAGGCTTCGAAAAAGTGACGGGGATGTCCCGATTGAAATCTGGCCGAGATGCCTGAACTTTTTCGAAATTGTCGTGATTTTGGAACATATTCGAAGAGTGAGAAAAGGATCGTAGAGGACAACTTGCTCGGATGTAGGGACAGGGAATTCTCTTTGGGACACTAGGCATGCGTTAGTAAAGCCAGCTGCTGTTGGTGCTCGATCATTGGGTATGGAGACTGTCCAGCCTGGGTTATTGACTTACGCAAGATGATATTGCGGCTTCAGAGAGTGGCACAAAGTGATTGATGAGACACGGTGGTACATTGGGACTGGGATTGAGAGTTGACAGCCGAAGGACAGGGCAGGATTTCAATCTGGCGTGTGGTTGCCGTGCTAGGACCGAGCCATATTTCCACAATGACGTGTCACGAGTGTGCTCTTATTACCACGCCACTCCAGGACATTGAGAGCAAAGATATAGCGTGGCATTAAAGTCCCACTGTCCATAAGTTATCCGTGCCGCATCTCCCGTTTGTAAGCGTCCCGAATAACCCCGCGGCGGGACGGAAAGTCGGGGGAGCATTGGGAGGCTTATCAAGTTATCATCAACCGTAGCTGAATATGAAACCCCGCACGGCTGAGAAGCAAGCAGGGAACACGGCTGTATCGGGTGCTCTGATAAGAGGAAGACAAAAGGCAAACATGGCAAGGCAAGGCTCGCAGACCGACCCCTCTTTCCCCATCTATCCCATCGCCATCACTTCAGCATCAGCACCAGTGATTGTTCTACGAGCAAGTCTCCCCTCTCAGATTCTATAGTTCTTCATTCGAAATAATGACGGAGAACGATTACGAGACCTTCAAGCTGGGAGATTGGGAGCTTCAGAGCGGGGAGAAGCTGGTCGACGCCTACATCGCATTCAAGACGTTTGGAGATCCCAAGTCGCCCGCCATTGTTTACCCCTCCTGGTTCTCAGGCCGTATGTAACTTGATTTACAATTTACAAGGTAGTCATGCACTTACACTGATATACATAGAGATCTCCGACAATCTCTGGTTGATCGGAGAGGACAAAACCCTTAACCCCAATAAATACTACATAATCATCCCCGCACTCTTCGGGAACGGCCAGTCAACATCGCCATCCAATTATCCCATTCAAGGGCCCTTCCCAAAATGCTCCATCTACGACAACGTTCGCGCCCAACATATGCTAGTGACCCAGCATCTAGGCATCCCTCATTTACGTGCAGTGCTTGGATGGTCAATGGGAGCGGCGCAAAGCTTCCAGTGGGCGACACAGTATCCCGAGTTTATGGATTTAGTGGTGCCATTTTGCGGTTCAGCCAGGACGTCGCTCCATAACCAGGTATTCCTTGAGGGCGTGAAAAGTGCACTACTCGCAGCGAAGCACATTTCTTCAGCAGGGTCTGGAAATGCCGGTGTTCTCGAAGCCGGTCAGTCTGATAGAACATGGAGCGAGAGAGAGAAACAAATCGGGCTGAAGGCTTTTGGTAGGGGCTATGCTGGCTGGTAAGAATAATCTCTGTCTGGAGCGGGAGACATTCTGACGTGCTCTCTGTGAAAGGGGATTTTCACAAGCATTCTACCGAGAAAAGCTATATGAAAGCGTCCTCGGATACAAAGATCTAGAGGATTTCATGGTGAGCTTCTGGGAGAGCTGGGCGCTCTCGAAAGGTCAGCCTAGCGACGCGCGAAGACATGCACCGAGGAACCTTCGTTGATAGGACCTGCATTTTAGACCCAGCCAATCTCCTGACAATGCTGCAAACATGGCAGAATGGAAATGTGGCAGATCAAGAGCCATACAACGGGGATTTCGAGAAGGCCATGGCTTCTATCAGAGCAAAAGTCTTGGTCTTGCCTGGAAGGACCGACCTATACTTCCCGTAAGTGTGTCGTGCTGCGTGTGTTATTTTGAGGCAGAAACTCATAGCCAACCGCACAGGCCCGAGGATTCGGAGTATGAGGTTGCCTGTATGGCACCGGGACTTGGTGCTCTCGGCATTTTCCCCTCGATTTGGGGTCGTAAGTTTTGTCCTACAACCCGACTGAGGCTTGAATCTAAGGCATACCTCAACAGATTGGGCTGGTGGTCCGGGATTGAGTAAGGATGATCTCGGCTGGTTGGACAAGAAGTTGAATGAATTTTTTCACGGGGAAACCTCTTCTGTCAGAGAAACATTGGGGGAGAAGCTCAAGTCTATGACCTTGGGAGGGCACTAGTAATGATTAAGGTGGATCCAAGCAGCAAGTAATAAGTTAGTATTCAAATTTCAAACAGACTGTCGTGAACCTGTAACCGAACTTCCCAGTGAATTGGATTGTGCTTTCCCGCAATCAACCATCATCCACACGCACGTGATGGGGCTGGAATGCTGAATCAGCTGCTGATCTGGTGGCCGGCGATAAACCTTCAAGCGCCTCCTCATTTCCAACTCCGAATCGATCAAAGCAGCTGTTACAATTCCAGCCACTTTTCCTTACCTTCCCTTTTAATCCTCCCCCTTTCATATTGTCACTACCACACTCTAAGATATTCCTTTCATCATATCTGGTGATTTCCTATTCCACAATTTGTAAAGTCTTTCCTTCACTTTTCGCGCCTATTCCGTATCTAGTTGCCTGCCTGCCTACCCAGCGCCTATTCGGCGCAACCGCTTTATCCTGTAACACTCGACAGACGAAAGAGCCAACATGACAGCACCACCAGCCAGGCAGTGGGGAGTTACTCCTCCGATTTCCACCGCCCTTCCTACTCCAGATGAGCTTACCGCCAACGATGATCTGATTTCCGAGCTGAAGGCGCAGAATAACTTCGAAAGTCCGGCGGAGACCGAACGAAGGTGAGACGGATCCTCTCAGATTTGGCTGAAGCTGCTTCACACAGATGCTGACTTTGCTTGTGCACCCTAGACAACAAGTCCTTCAACTTCTTCAGCGTGTCACCATCGAGTTTGTCAAAGTTGTCAGCCGCAAGAAGGGTCTCTCCCCTGCAGCCGTGGAGGCAGCTGGAGGGAAGATTCTTACATACGGCAGTTACCGCCTTGGTGTCTATGGGCCAGGTTGGTTTGGCCGAATTTGCCTGTCAGAGCTAAGATCAGGGATATTGATGCCTTTTGTCAATAGGTTCGGATATTGATACGCTGGTGGTCGGACCCAAGCATGTCGTCATCGACGATTTCTTTGCTGAATTCCCCCTTGTCCTTGAACAGATGGCTCCACCTGGAGCAATCGAGAAAATGACACCAGTCCCCGATGCGTTCGTCCCAATCATAAAGATGGAGCTGTCGGGCATTAGCATCGATCTGATATTCGCGCGCCTGATCGTACCATCCGTGCCTATGAGTCTCGACCTAAAGAACAATGATTATCTGCGAGGCTTGGATGAAAAGGAAGTTCGGTCGCTCAATGGAACCCGTGTGACAGACCAGATTCTGGAGCTTGTACCTCAGCAAAAAACCTTCCGCCTGGCCTTGCGCGCCATTAAGCTGTGGGCACAGCGTAAGTGCCCATGTCCATGGTCCTAGACTATATTCCTTGTTGCGCTAACATCACCTCTTCCGATTAGAGCGAGCGATTTATGCCAATGTTGTGGGATTCCCAGGTGGCGTTGCTTGGGCAATGCTTGTCGCACGAGTGTGTCAACTATACCCTCAAGCCACCGGCTCAGTCATTGTTGGCAAATTCTTCCGGATCATGACAAAGTGGGCCTGGCCTCAGCCCGTCTTACTGAAGCCAATTGAAGATGGCCCTCTCCAAATGAAAGTGTGGAACCCTAAGGTAAAGCTTCCCCGAGAAAAGTAACGATGCGTGGCGAGGTGATTAACTGATGTCAATATAGATCTACAACGGTGATCGATTCCATTTGATGCCCATTATCACGCCTGCCTATCCCTCCATGTGCGCTACTCACAATGTTTCCGTGTCAACCAAGACTGTGATTCTTCGAGAGTTACAGAGGGGCGGTGACATTGTGGATAAGATTTTCATGAAGCAGCTCAACTGGAATGATTTGTTCAAACGGCACACGTTCTTCACTCAGGACTACAAATACTACCTCAGCATTACGGCTTCCAGCCGAACCAAGGAAGCAGAGTCGGTGTGGTCTGGTCTTGTGGAATCTAAAATCCGCCACCTCGTCGGTGCCCTTGACAGGAAGGCTACAATTGCCGTCGCCCATCCATTCCCTAAAGGTTTCGAGAGGGTACACAAGGTTTCTTCCGAGGAGGAAATTGAGGCAGTCAAGACTGGGTCCACTAAGTATCAAGATAGGGAAATCAAAACCGAGACCACTGATGAGACTAAGGATGCGGCCCACGAAGCTGCTGCGCAAAACGGTGCGGAAAATAAAGAGATTCCGGCTACGGAAGAGAAAGCTGCCGAGGACACCCGAGTCATGTATACGGCAACGTACTATATTGGGCTGGAGCTGAAACCACTCGAACCAGGTACGTCAACTGCGCCTCACCTGTGAACTCGCTGACCTCTGAAGGTGCCTCACGGTCATTGGATATCTCATCCGATGCCCAGCTGTTCAAGTCTCTTTGCACCACATGGCCTGGATATCAGCCCGGGGTCATGGATGTGGCTATCACTCATGTTCGCAAGTAAGTGTTTTATGCACCACACAAGCAAATCTTATGCTGATGACCATTACCAGTTTCGACCTGCCGGATGATGTTTTCCAACCCGGAGAGAAGAAGCCCCTTCGGCCGAAGAAGAAGGTCATTAAGAAGTCCGACACAAGCGGCCACAAGCGGAGCATCGATTCATTGGACGTAAGTGCAAACAAGATAGTCAAAGTATATCACGAAGCGGCGCTAGCCCACGTAACGAAATGCGCATCATCGCGTACCGTGTGAAACTTGTCAGATCCGATGTCTGGATATAACTGATATCAACTGATTTCACAGGACGCATCCCAATCGGCTGCCAAGCGCCAGGTCACATCCAATGGTATCTCCAACGGGGTGGCTAGCACTGCAACCACGCCCGCGTGAGTCGTGGTATAGTGCATCCGAGAACACAATTCCACCGGGGCCGGCTCCCCACCAAACACAAGCCGAGGGCCAGAAATTGATGAACGGTATTTGGGTTCGAAATAAGCCGTTCCCTTGCTTTGGACGAAGAAGCATTGATGAAAACACAATCGCAGCCGTATCTGACCGATTACCCAGTTGATCTGGTATCCGGATTGCTTGCATTGCGAACAAGTCGACGCCTACCGGCAAAACTTTTTCAAGGTTGGTTCTTCTACACTTC